TATGACAGCTTGCTTCAAATAAATGTGGCGTTTCCATTCAGGTCTTTTCCCCATTTCATCTTGGGCTAGATATAAAAAGAAGTTTGTCTTGCTTTATCTTGATCGTAAATCTTGTGGTCATCTATCTTGTGTCATTTCTATGGCTCGAGATGATGGGCACAGTCTTCTAGCCGCTAGTTGGTCACAAAAGAAACATTAGCGTTATTCGGGCATGGCGACTTTCCTAAAACCCGTCAGTGTTTGCGCTAGACATTTATGAGAATTGTTCTTGGACATGGAGAAAAAGGCAATCGCGATTGTCTGATTCTTCATCAAACTTTGTGGAAACTTTGTTTTATCCGTTCCGTAAGCGAAATTGGAGGGAAAATTCGCAAATGTATGATTGAAATATAGAATGATGCACCTGTAAAAATTTCGATTTTTTTTCGATTTCATAGCGAATCGACCCTAAAAATGCTCCAATTCTCACTCCTTTTCCCTCAACCTCCACCTCCCTCCTCTCCTCCATTACCTCAAATTAGGCCAAACTTTTCTCTCGATTTGCCTACTGACACCTATGTCTCGTTGTTCGCTCATTATGTCATAGACGCCTCGTCTCTAATAGAACTTCTTACGGAAGATGGAGTAACGACATACACAACCAGATTAGTGTATCACACAACCGCCTTATTCACGTTATGCTTTCTTAAAAGCTTAGAAGAAAGGTCGCAAAGCACGAAAACCACCACAGGAAGAAGCTGCGTTACCGTAACTATTAGGCGGCAATCAACTCTAGCGTAGAATTACTAGCATAAATTACGGTTGCGGGTAATGTTTTTGTCATTTATTGAAAAGTGGGAAATTAATGCCTTCTTTGCGCGCGTGTGTAACATTTGAGTCAATTTGTGATCCAAAGTCCCTTTTTCTTATGTTTCAATTCATTTACGCGTAAAAAACTAGCTTCTTATCCAGCTCAACCTTAGAGGAGAAATTTCGCTAGAAAAATAATTAGTAGTACTGATATAAGTAAGTTTGGTAATTTTACAGTCAGTATTACTCCGTTGCCGGCAACATTTGCGCGTAAAAAATAACCAGATCGAGTTTTGAATATTTATGTTCATTTTTTTATGCGCAATGCTGTTACCGTCGTAAGGTACTGTACTAACCGTTAGATTTACTAAACCATGAGCTAGAATAACGATCATTGGTTACACTATTTACTTCTCGCCCTCTACCTTCATACAGGTTTGGGTGTAACAGAAACCATTTCCGAGACTCATCAATTGGCAAGATTGCAGATTTTATGTGCTCAAGAGGCAGTATTCAAAAGCTCTAGCCTATACAGACTTAATAAACAAATTCTAACAGTAAGACCTGGACAAAATTTTTCTGAAAATTACACTGCCAGATATTGGTAAGAAAAGACTGATAAGTAGTTCTAGTCTTTTTCAAAGAACTTACAATCGTATATTTTTATTTCTCATCTTAACTCTTCGTTTTCTATAGGTGTGGATTTTTGGAAGAGCTAGGATATCAGCAGATAACCGCAATCTGGGGTGGGAATATGTCAATTTGAATGAATCTTGCGTATCTGGACCCTCTGATTGAAAGAAGTCTGAGGTGGCCTTCCAAAAATGGCAACTTAGTCAATGCGTTAAATGAGAATAGATGTCTGCCATACGACTAAATGTTCATATGGTAGACATCCAGGCTTATTTAATGCTTAGAAATTGCAAGTCTGCATGAGAAAATGTAAACAGTGTGAAAAACGCGTGGAAAAAATCGCTCCTTTTTTTGCCTGACTTGACACTTACATCAAATCCGCTTGGCTGTCAATTGAGCTACCACTAATGTTCTGCTAGGATGGGACACAGTTCCACAATTTGAAGGAAGCTGGTGACATGTGATATGGAATGAAGTTGAAACATAAGTGTGTTAAGCGCAATGGGTTATTTGAAAATGAAAAGTTTTGAGTCGAAAAATGATATTTGTCAAACCTCAATGATAGTTGGTTCTTTATCTTGTTTTTATCGAATAAGATATGTGGCGTCTACCAAGCTTTTCAGTCAAACTCCTCTTCTTTTCTCTATCTCAGCTTTTCATACTTTTAGCAGGATTTTTCGAATTAAGTTCTTCTTTTTTCTCTACTCCATTTTTTCAAAGTATTTCCTTTTTTGGCGTCCCAGTGATAAAGCACTTCAACGACTTGGAAATTTGCAAAGGCATCTATTGTATATTGCGAGCATAATCGCAAGGAAAAATTTTTATAAAAAGGGGTCCAACTAAAATCCCTGAATTTACACAAAATGAAAACAGTGGATAGTCTGAGAGTGACGTACGAATATTCCTCAAATTGAGGAGCTTTTACGCTGTTATAATAAGAACATGTTCTATCTGGTGCATTCACTTTGAATAAAAACTTCTATATCTCGTGTCAGGGTTATCACGTAGTGTAAGAACTGCAAGGAGGACAAGTTTGTGATTGGCGAACTTTGTCGCGCATGCCGGGCTCGGAAGACCTCCCATTGAAGGTTTTTATTCTCACATAGCAACGAGATGAGTCTTCTCGAGCAAATTACACGACTGCGTCAAGGTATTTTATCATAGCCAAATGTCTCCGACATCCCAAATGTCCCAGATCACCTTGCATGCCGCTGTCATTTCTTGATTGCTAGCATTTCATTTCCTTAGCCGCGCATCCTTGGCGCAAGCGAGCCAGCGCGGGAGCGCTTGAAACAGTCCCATAACGTCGTTTCTGGGTCACGGCCCCTCCTTGGCGATCGTCGACGCCTTAGTAAAGTCATCGTGCACAGTTATGGGTGCGGCCTATTTTATGTCCAATTTCGGAGTTTCGCATGTTTACTTCTTCACTTACACCCCTTACAGCCACTGACTGGATGGCTGGCTGGCGGGTTCCGTTTCTGAGTGCACTCCTAATGTCCTAATGTGCCGTCGGCGCTTTGCAAATCTCTGATCAAGTCTCTTTTCTGTTCGAGTCTGGCTAATAGAACATACACATCAAGTTTGAGGGCGCCGTTGAGGCGCTTGGCCTGTTCGTTCGTCTCGCTGTTCGTTCGTTTGTCATTCTTTCTATTACCAATCTATCGCAGATATTCTCCTGCCATAGTGATGGTGGTTGTAATAGTAGTATTGGTGATGATAGTAGTGCTGATGTGGTAATGCTGATGCTGGTGGTGCTTATGGTGTTGGTGGTGCTGGTGTT